AACCCGGGCCCCCCGCGTGGCAGGCGAGAATTCTACCACTGAACCACCAATGCCAGATAGGGAAATAATGCTGAGGCACTGCCTTAGTGTCCTGCACCCTGCCCTCACTTTCTGTCCTTGCATTCTGCTCTTGATGGTCCTTCCACAGAACACAGGGAAAACCTCCTTGCCCGTATTGTCCCCTCCTGGGGGACTCAGTGCGTGTCCTCCCAGCACACGAGTGCGAGACGTGGGGTGCCAGGGGGATTCTCACCTGCCGGTACTTGCTGTACTCCTTGCCCAGGGCATCAAAGAGCTGGCAGAGCTCCTGGGTGTACTTCCGGGATGGGTGCTTCTCCGGCAGCACCTCACGGATCCGCAGCACGGCCTGGGAGCTGACATGGAACCAGAGGTACCGCAGAGCTGCCTCCGACACCGTCCCGTTGCGCTGGAGGGCAAGAGGGTGAGAGCCGTGCAGCCCCCGTGGGTCCCTGGAGCGCTCCCGTCACTGTCCCTGTCCCCTGTCACTGTCTTACCAGGCGGGTGATGTTGGATGGCCTCAGCACCTCTTCGTACTGGACCTGGACTGTGTAGTCGATGGGAAAGTAATGTTTCTGGAAAGGCAAGGAAGAGCAAGGGGGCTGGCAAGGGGCAAAGTAATGGGCACATCCTTGCCAGCATTATGACACTGGGGAGCCAGTGCAAAAGCCCTTTGATGTGGTCAGCCCCCAGCAGAAGTAGCCCTGGGCACAATTTCGCATAAATTGTCCCTGGTAAAAAACACAGCACCCAGCACCCAGCCACTGTAGAGCAGTGGGTGCTGCCCCCCACCCATGACCCCCTTGGAGCAAATTGGGGCCCTGCAATGCCAGGTGTCCCCCCACCTCCCAAAGCTGGGGTTACCATGTACTGCAGGCGCATCTCATACTGCAGCTTGTCCTGGAGCAGGCGGGTGAGCTCGCATTCGCCCGGCGCCGCGGCCTCCAGCCCCAGCACAGCCAGGACACCTGGGCAGCCAAAGCCAGTGGCATCAGCCCCCTCAGGGACACCCACTGAGGGGACTCCTGAGGCCATCCCCCCGTCCCCCAGCTGTACTCACATAGGACGGCAGCGTAGCCCTGCTGCATGTTGATGGTGGCCATCATTGGAGCCCCAGGCTGTGCCTACATGGCTGGGGCTCACCGGGAGCCTCCAGGGCAGTGGCGTGGATGGTGTGGGGACAAGGGACAGGTGTAGGCTCCGGGCACTGGCTGCTCTCCGGTAGCCCCGGGTAGTTGTTCCCTGCCATGGATGGGGGGTTAGTCCCCCTTCCTGGCAGTCCCCGCTGGCTTCTCCTCTCCAGCTGGTGGCAGGGAGGCAGCAGGTCCCGGGGCCGTCACAGGGTGTTGGCAGGGATGTGTTTGCAGGGGTGCAGGAGCACCCCCGGACTGCAAGAGGGAATCTGGGGGAAGAGAGCCCTGGCTGCAGCCCCAGGGCAGGCAGGGGCCCAGGCTGCAGCCCCCAGGCAGGACATCTGCTCTGAGCCCCGGTGGCCACGGGGAAGGGACAGCCCCGCGTGAGCCTCGGGTGGCCGTGGAGCCGTGTATGCCTATATCCCACTTGGGGCAGGGCTACCAGGGCTTCCCTGATGACACCCTCAGGGGATTTCCAGGGAAGGAGGGGGATCAACCCAGCCCCGTTATCCCAGAGGTGACTAAGTCCAGCCTCAGCCGAGGAACGCTGGGGGACGGGGGCTGGTGAAATGGCCAAGCCACCGCATGCTGGGACCCCGCACAGAGGTGTCGTGTCCCTACACCCCTGCGAAGGGGGCTCTGCCATGCCCCCGCGCTGTGGAAGGAGATCATAGCATGTCCTCGTGCCACATGTTCCGCAAGCGTGTCCCCTTGCGAAGGAGGGTGTGTGTTGTGTCCATGTGCTGTCCATCCCAGCACAGAAGTGGCCCCATCTGCGTCCCCACACTATGCCCCGGTGCCAGGGGGACCACGCTGTGTCCCCACGCGATGCCATGTCCCAAGGGAAAGCAGCCGTGCCGTGTACCGCGCCGTGCCCCCACGCGAAGGCGCCGTGCGGTGTCCCAGCGCAGAGTGCCACCCACAATCCCCAGTGGAGGGACCTCTGTGCCGTGTCCCCGCCGCGCGTCCCCAGGCGGACACGGCCGGCTCGCGGGGTGCGTGTGCCCCGTGCCGCGTCCCCGAGCGGGGCCGTGGCTGCCCGGCCGCCCCCCGCGCCCCCCGCGCGCGGCTCCGCGGACCCACCTGGCGCGGGACGCGTCCACCCGCGGGCGGCGGCGGCGGCGGGGCCGTGCCCGCGCTTCCCGGGAGGCGGGCGGGGGGCGGCGGCGCGGGGAGCGGGCGGGGCGGCGGCCGGGCGGGGAGTGGGGACCGAGCGACCGCCCCGCACGGCCCGGGAGAGTCCGGCCCCGCTCCGCCGCGGGTGCTCGGCCAGCCCAGCCGGGTGGGTGTCCCCAGGGTACGCAGGTAGCCCAGGCTGGGGTGTCCCCAGGGTGCCTGGCTAACCCTCGTGGGTACCTCCCTGCTCCTCGGGGTGCTTTGCTGCCCCAGCTGGGTGTCCCCAGGGTACTCGGCTCAGCCAGCTGGGTGTCCCCAGCGTGCTTAGCTGACCCTCGAGAGTATCTGCCCCTGTTCCAGGCAGGTGTCCCCGGGATGCTCAGCTGCTCAGTTCACCTGGCCAAGGTACCCCCCAGCATGCTCAGCTCATCCAACTGAGCATCCCCAGGGTGTCTGGCTCATCCTGCTGGGTCCCTCCCTGCTCCTCGGGGTACTTTGCTGCACCACACCCTGTGTGCTGGTCTAACTATGGTGAATGCCTCCTCCATTCCTCAGGGTGCTGAGCTGTCCCTGCAGGGTGTCCACCCAACCCAGTCCGGTGCCCACATAGCCCCTGGCCTGCCCAGCTGACTACTCTGCACAGCTCTAGGCTTCCCTGGGTGCTCTGCTCTGCCAGCACTGGCACCTCTAGGGTGCTGGGCTTTCCTGGCAGGGTGACCCAGGGCACTTTCTGCACTGAGCACCCATGGGCACGTTTTGGGGCAGTCAAGGTGGGAGTCAGCCCAGTGCCTTCCCACAATGCGCCCGGGGAAGGGCTGCACTGCAGCACTTATCTCGGAGGGGCTGAGGTATTCTAAACTGGCTCCAGGCCAGCAGGACTCTGCGCCCTCTGACTTAAGTCCACATCATCCTCTCAGGATGCTTCAGGGCTGAGCTCCTGCCAGGAGCAGCGGCCAAGGGACATGGGACATTGTCCTCCCCCACATCATCCTGAAGAGCCCCTTGGAAGAGCCACTGTGTCTGTGCTCAGGGCTGCTGAGCATTCAAAGGGTCAGCAAGAAAATCGGCTATCAAAGAGTGGGTCAGTGCTCCCAGGGAAACGCGTGGGAAGGAATGCACTTCTGCCTGTGAGAGCGCACTGGGATTCCCCTGGCATGCAGTCAGGGCCACTGCCGTGCTCCTGCCAAGCTTCCCCTGGTCCTGGCCAGTCTCAGGCACGGCCTTGCCTCCCTCCCAGCACTCGTCGGGGCCAAGATGCTCAGCTCTAAGCAGGGAAGGAGCCGCTGAGCTCCTCACTCAGGTGTCCGCAGGGAATTTGCCCGCAGCTGCTGCAGTCGCTGGAGGAAGCCATTTAACAGCATTCCCTGCCCACGTATTCATCAGCCTGGCAGCCGGGATGGGGCGAGGAAGAGAAGGGAGAGTGCAGAACGGCGCAGCACCGTGCTGGGGGCGGTGCGCTCTCCCTGGCTGCTCCGGGGCTGGAAATCAGTGCTGGGATGAGCCGAAGGCAAAGAGCTTCCTGTGCACAGCCCCGGGAGCTCTGCGCCCACACGGCAGCAGGACCCTGATCCCCTGCAGCTGCAGGGGGGAGCTCGCTCTGAGAGAAACTTTCCTTGTCCCAGTGAAGGGGAGCTGGGGGCTCAGGCAGCTCCCCACAAGCCCCCAGGCTCCTTATGGCTAGGAATGGGTGCCCCCAGGCCTTGCCTTTTACTGGAAGCAGGTTATTCACCAGGCACAGCCGAGCAAGTAAAACCTTGTGCTTGGAACCAGTTTGGGAACATCAAGACACGCCCCCGCTCCCCCAGCTTTCACTTTCAGGACACCAGCATGACAAATACCAAGGGCCACTGGAGCTCTGTTGGAAGTGCCCTCTGATCCAAAGCATCACTCCCTCAGGGAGGACAGGGAGCACAGGGTGAGCACTTGATGGCAAGCCAGAAGCTGGACCTCACAAAGCTCAGCTCCCCTTTGCCCCCTCCTTGACACAGCCGCCCCCACTGAGGTCACAGAAGGGAGCACAAAGCCCTTTGCTCTGCCAGCACGGGTGGGGCTGGCAGAGCCAAAGGGTGCAGCCCAGCATTGTAAGCCCCTGCCAACACAGGCCTGCGAGGTTGAAACAAAGCAGGAGGGGAGAGGAGGGTGCAAAGGACAGGGCAGGAGGGTGTGTTTGCCCTCACCCCACAGTACGTGCACCAGAGAATGTGAAAGCTGTTCAAAGGCAACACAGGCATCAAGGATCGCCTGTCTCTCCAAGCCCAAGTGGGGAGCAGCATCCTTACTGGGATGTCACAGGCTATCAGACTGTCCCCACCAGCAGGAAGGAAGCAGGGAGTAACCCAGCAGAACCAGGAAGCACTTGCTGTGTGGGTACACTCCAACTGGGAGCCCCTGCAGCCAGCTACCAAGCCTCTGGGACAAGGACCTTTCCCCAGCCCTCCTGGCAGCCAGCTGCTCCTCCCAGAGCTGCAGCTGCTAGGCTGGGTAACAACGTGCAGCCATGCTCTGGAACGGCTGCAAGAATGACTCTCCCCTCTCTCCACAGCCTGTTTTGTGTGTGGCCCAGGGCAGACCAAGCAGCAGGGCACCAGCTCCAGACGGGGCAGGGGGGCAGCGAGGGGCCTGCAGGAGCACAAGGGCTCAGGGTGTGCATATTTCTGTATTCCTCCTCCTCCCCTCCTGCTCCCGCCAGGTCAGCAGCAGCTGCCATGAAGGAGAAGAGCCGCAGCGCCAGGGTAATGAAAAAACAGGCTTTTATTCTTCATGTGCTGCTCACAGTCACAGCTTGGAGACACTCTCTTGCCAAAGTTATTATGAAACAAATCAAGTCCCAGACTCAGGCCTCGCTCTTCCCCACCCCCAAGTGAGTCAACATTGTACAAAACTCTATTTACAGGGAAAACAGTCAGAAATGGCAAGTCCAAAAAACCCCCTTACAATTCAGAAGAAAACGTTCAAGACAAGTGTGACAGTTACACCCTCCACAGCCAGCTTCCCATTGGCTGCCCCAGGACTAGTGTAAGCCCAGAGCAGCTCAGTAGTGGCTACTAAAAGAGGAGCCTGGTAATCCTGAATCATGCCACAGCTCTTTCCTTTCCTTTTTCCTTTCCTAAAATGCTGGGAAATCACAAACCCTACTTGGCCCAACAAAGACTCAGCTGGATCTGCCCTACAGAACTTTCAGCAAGACCCCTAGGACTCCTCCATCCGAAAGGGAGGACAAGGAGATGGGGCTGAGGGTCAGCTGTAGGCCCTGCTTGGGCACTTCCCAAGAGAGAACTGCTCTGGCCAGAAGCCGGAATGTCAGGAGCCTTCACATAGGCAGCAGGATGTGTTGGGAAACCTAATAGCTGATACTGTATTTACTGGAGTCACGTTACTTTGAAACACAAACCAAGAGGACCAAACCAATATTTGAAAAGGGGGGAAAAAAAAGCACACATTGCTCCTCCCGATGGTGCCTGGAAGAGCACCCAGAGGAGCCAGGAGCATTTCTGCCCCTGCCAGCTGCCACTCAGAACGCGTAGCGCGTGCGGATGTCCTCCAGCTTCTTGGACACCTCGGGTGGGGTCCGGTCCAGCTCCTCGGCCACATTCTTCTGTTTGTTAGGCTCCATGGAGTTGAACTGCTCACACAGGTCCCCATCAATCACGTTCTGGAGGGGCAAGGAGGAGAGAACTGAATCGAAACCACACAGAGGCACTGAACCCTGCCTAAACAGGGAAAAATGGCCACAAACAGTTTGTTCCCAGGAGTTTCTTAACCCTGTCCTGGAAACAAGACCATGCTTGGTGACCTCATCTGCTGAATAGCATCACATTAATTACTGGCCAGCTTGATTAACAAAACAGTAACCCAAAAGGCCTGGGAGCAGCTGAAGAATCACAGAAGGGAAAGGAAGAGAGATCCACCTGGGTCTGAGCCCTGCACTGGGAAGGCTGGGGGAGGCTGCAAGTGATGACAAAGGCAGCTTCAATCAAATGGGAGCAATCTTTGAGGCTGTGTATGTGGCAAATCAGCCTCAAGCTCAGAGACCACCATCACACTCCACTCCTAGAGAGCTTCATCTGCTAGGACAGTATTCTGACTGACTCCAGACTTATTACTCTGGTAGTAGCTACCACTGGGATCCATCTGATCAGAGCATTTAGCAGTTCACAGCTTCTAATAGTTCCTCAAAAGCAGAAATAGGAAGGAACAGCTCTTTCTGAACTTGGATTTTCCTTTCCAGTGGTGGTGGAAAAAATATAATCCAGGGCAGCACTCAGTTTGATCCAGCCACACCAACAGCTATGTAATGCTGCTTCTCCTGGTGGAAAATGGAGATGCTGTGGGAAGTAGAGAAGTGCAGCTACAGCACCTCTGGGCTTAGGTCTTAGGATCAACCCTCGGGAGGCTCATTACAAGAGTTAAGAAGCCAAAACAGACATGTATTAAGTGCTAAGTACTGTTCTCCTACCAGACTGCTGCTCAAGAGCCAGCTACCACAGGCACCACACAAGCCATTAATGGCAGTGCCTCAGTTCTCCCTACTAAACAGCAAGCTTGCCTTGTACAAGACAATAACCTTGCCTTGCTTCTGCCAGCCTCAAGGCAGCTCGGTGCCCCAAAGCAACTCACTGCAGCCCATGGCCAGGTGATCCCAGGTGCTCAGGGCTCACCTTCACCGGGAAGTAGTAGGAGCGGAAACTGAGATGGTCCCGTCCACAGAGAGGAGGGTGCTCAGACCGTAAGTGCATTTCCACGTGCTGGAAGAAGTCGTGATCCTGGGGAGATAAAGGATTGGTAAGAGAACAGTTTGGTACACATCAGGGCTGCTAGCAAGGCAAGACAACATCCATTAGAAGGTGCTCCTGCCCTGGCTGAAACACTGTCATTACATGGCTATTTGGGGTTGGAGAAAATGATCTTTAAACGTCCCTTCCAGTCCAAACCATTCTGTGGCTCTGTGATTAACAGACTCTGCCAGAGCAGCCCTGCACATGGCAGCCAAAGTCACAGCTACCCCCTCACCCCCTTCCACCTGGAAAGCACCCATAGCAGAGTTAAGCAGCCACCCTGGTCAGGATCAGCCTCCCAGGAAATGAGGCATAGAGCAGCTGTGTAGCATGGAGCTGCAGCTCCAACAGAGAATGTCTTGCCATCCACTGCTCCAAGAGACCACAGCAAACAGAGAACAGAGTATCGTCCTCAGGACTTGAAACATCACTGCCTGATCAACAGTTTAGAGGCTACACAAAGCATGCCAAAGTACCCCTCCCTCCTCAGACACTGAATCACCCAAAGCTCCTTGAAAGCACAAACAGACACAGAACAACAGTACAACAAGGAATGCTCTCAACTCTTTACAGAACCAATGCAGAACTCAACAAACTCCTTCTCTTCCCTTCTGCATTGGAGCCACAGGCTCTCCTGTAGCTCAGGTTTTCAGCCACTGTGGAGCCCTCCAGGGAATGCAGCACATTTAATATACTGGCTGTGGATGGGTGCACAAAAAGCAGCAAGACTGCAGCCTCATGCTTGGGCTTGCTTACCTCATGGGAAGTAAAAGGGACCAAGATTCCTATTCCCCCTGATAAGGTTGTATAAACAAGAGATTCAGAGCCTCCTGGAATCAGTGTGGTCTTCTGCAAGGAAAGCACCGTTTCTCCCACATGATAATTCATAATCACTTCAGCCTGAAAGGCAAGCACAGAAGCATGTTTTTTCTTTGGCTTATATAAAAGCATCAAAGGGCTTGAGAGAGGAAAGCAGAATAAATTCAGCCAACTGCCAGTTCTGAAATGCCTTTCTAGAGAGGAAGTGCCTTCCACCTGTGACCAGATGGCAAAACTCAGCTGGACAAACGGATGCAAGTAATGAGAGAAAGCAGCAAAAGAAAATGAGCTGCTTCCCTCAAACACACCAAATAGGCTTCAGCTGGGATTTCAGAAATTTGGCTTGCAGCAATAGTGAAAACAGATCGCCCACAGCACAGCAGATTGCGTAGAAGCAGAACTGCCAATACATCTCCTGGACAACACTGCAAAGGCCTTCACAGAAAAGCAGTGCTTTCTTTTCCTACAATAACCATGTGCTTCCCACAAAGTATTACCTTCTGCGATGCTCCATTAAGCAGGCCCCTGTCCCAGAGAGCTTTGTTGCCTGTGGGATCCTCATCTACCTCATCATTGGTGTTGGGAGGCAATCTCACCTGTGTTGAAAGAGGAAGAATCAGCAAGCTGCAGAGAAGCAGCACATTATCTCTGGAGAGCCCTTGTGCTGCCTGAAAGACTGCCTTTGTGGACTCTGCAAGAACCACTTTACACTTACAGCAGAATCATCCAGGTGCCTCTCCAAAACAGCCTTTACAGTTATATGACAACTGTGGTAACAAGACCAATAACCCATCACCCAGAAACATGGGCAAGGCCTCACACCCAGTCTCTGCCTGGCCTGGCACTTGCAGATCACCCTGGGAGGTATGGTCAAACACATCTGAAGGTGGTTTCCACTAAGGAAACAGTTTGATGGATGTGGGGCAGGAAAACTGAAGAGGATTGATTTGTGTGTTTTGGCCCAATTCTGCAGGCGCAGCATCTGACACTTGCTGAACTCTGCACTCCGAAGCACCCGAGCACGCTTCAGAGAGAGATCAAAGCTCTGCCAGAAAGACCATCTATTCTTTCCTCCTCCCTTGCTGAAATCCAGCCAAGTGGGGAAGTGTTGGCTGACAAAGCCAACTGTGAAGAGGAAGTGACAGAGAAAGCTCGATGCCAGCTATGAGGTTTAGTCAGAAAAAGTAAGAGTGATAACCCTGACTCAAGTTCTCATGGGCCCTTTCACAGCAACAATCTTCTTTTCAAGGTTTACTGACAGGAAGTTTTTGAGGCAATATAAACACAAATTACTGGACACCTCAGAAATATGTTTATGACTTGCTGATGCTTTAACTTATTTGCTTCATTTAGCAAACAGATAAACTGCAGCCCACTATGACAGAGCCACCCCATGAAAACAAGTCAGTGGTACAGGGCGTTGTCTCCAGCTAATGACAGATTCTCATTCTTTTAAGATAAATCATGGATGTTTTAAGGGAAAATATGTCCAAAAAGCCCCAACTTCAGCAAAGCACACTCACCACACAGATGTTACCAAACTTGTCTGCCCCAGCCACGGTGTCGTAATCCAGGAGCGTTGCTGTAGTGACCCACCGGGGGTAAGTGTCATCAGCAAAGATAATGAGCTGGTTCTCATTCCTTTTGTAACGCACCCAGATAAAACTCTCCTGAACATCTGAAACAATCACTCTGTGCCCAATGGTTTGGATCCCACAGATGTAGTTGGCAATGTGCTTTTGAGAGAGAAAGGACAAAACCTCAGTGCTTCAAACAGGGAAGTATAACCCTATTCCAACTGAAACACTCTTTTTTCCTCCGTGAACTGCAGCTCACTCCCCACTTCCCATCATTTCCTCCAAAAATACCCTCATTTCTGCCATACTACAGTCCCATTCTAAATACACCATCAATACAGGGCAACCTAATATGCACCACATGGCATCCACAGCCTTCTCTGTATGAACACTGTCCAGGGAACAAGTGCTGCTGGTGAGCCCATGATTGGAGATGCCAGGACATCCCTACCAGCAGGCATTGCTTCCATGTCTCCTCACTACCTGGTCATGGAAGGCCCAAAAAGGAAAGCTTCAATTTTTCATGTGAGTCATCCTTTAGGGAAAAAACCAAACTAACAAAACCACACCAAAAAAAAAAAAAAAAAAAAAAAAAAAAAAAAAAAAAAAAAGCTCCCCTGCAAGTTCCCAGGCTGTCTGTTAGCTTGCTGGAGTTCTTTTGTTCAGTAATGAGCTACTGGCACAGGTTCTGCAGCTTGCACGAGAGAGGGAGGAGCAGGCAATTAAGTTAGAAAATCACGCTCTGCAATTTCTTTTCCTAAAGCACCAGAGATGCTCAGCAAAAAGGACCACCTACTTCAAAGAGAAAATCCCCTTTTCAGCATTCTGGGGATCTGATGAGGTGGTCATATGCACCCTTCAGCTTCTGATCACCCAAACTAACAAAATATTTCCAGCAATTCTGTTCTATCTCGCTAGGACCTCTCACATTTGCAGCAGCCAAAGGAACAGTCTGTACAGACCTCTGCACATGGTCAGTAACTGAGCTGGGACAAAAAGGAACTTGCAGCACTACTATCAGAAAGGTGATAAGAAAATGGTGTGTGTGGGGGATGCAGAGGGGCAGCACAACAGTCCAGTCTAGTCCAGCACTCCTCTAGATAGATGCATCCAGCAAGGTAAAGACACAGCTTTGATGACCAAATAGACACACTTGGGCTGGAGTAGCAGCTAAACCCCGTGTTTCACTCTGGCTGCAAAGTATTACTTGTTCCAAATGGACAGCTCTGCTCAGGAACAGAAGGCAGTACCTTGTTCTCACATTTCCGAAGCAATTTCTTCTTGCCCAGGTCATACACACGCAGGAGCTTCCCAACTCCAATTAACACTCGGCCTTGGAATGGAGCAATGGCTGCAGGAACCTCCTCCACTGGGGTCTAGAGAGGGAAGAGGAAGATTGTGCAATCCTCATCATTAAGAGAGCTAACCTTACATAAACCTTCAGACCAGATTCAGCTAATGATATGGCTGAAGTTCACTGGCCTGTACCAAGGCTTCCAATGTAAAAAGCTAATAACAATCTTTTTCTACAGGAGAGGCAACAGGTCAGTCCCTCACAGGCCTTTTGACAGAAGCAGATATCACACAGAGATAAGAGAGCCATAGGCACTCACACACACACTGCTGGCAGTGCACCTGAAGGACTGCTGTAAGAACCCCATACTGGGCAGGCAGCAAAAGAAGACAAGGGTCTGGTTGCCTCAATTCTTAGTTTTGGTTTACAACCAACAGAAAAAACTTTAGACTTTGCCTAAATCTGTCCAGACTGTTTTTAAAGCAAGGCATGAATGTAATTCAGCCATCTGACATTGCCACCAAAGAAATTGTTAAATATGAACAACTGCAGTGTGTTCACAATTTCAGTAACTCAGATGGGGTTACTGTCTGAAAAATCTAATCAATCCAAAATGATCAGCCACAGCAGAGAAGGAGAACATGTAGAGAGTTTCCAGTTATAGCATTCCTAGCTTGGCTGCACTGGTTAAGAAAAGTTTATTTCACAACTTCAGCTCTGTCAACTTCCCAGTGGGTGTTCAGTGGCAGAAGAAAAGGCCGTGGTCCAGGACAGAACCCACTCACTGCATCAGGACTCTAGGAAGTGAGTAAGCCACAACATTCCTTTCCATGTGCTCATCTGCTCAAATCTCAGCCATGCTGGAAGCATGTGAGAAGAACAGTAATTTTTCTGCTGAAACTTTTGCTGAAGCCCTTGAGACCTATCAAACAAGTTGGTCACTAATCATTTCTACACACAATCAAACAGCATCCAAGGAAGATGACAGTTCACAACAGCTGAACATGGTCAGCCAAGGACTGACAGTCTTAGCATCAAGGTTCAAGTAACCCAAGGATGAATTTGCTCTGTAAACAAGTGCTTAAGCAGCTCTCTGAGCTCATATTCCAGAAAGCAAACAGAGCCATTTCCCTTCCCTCCCTAACAGGGGTAAGAAAAACACTGCTCCTTTCCAATTTACCCAATCAGATGAGTAAAATTAGGACTCTTGCAAGATGTGTGTTCAATCCTCAGCTCTGCAGAAGAAGTACCAAATTATTTTGTAGGAGGCAGCTAATTTTCTCCAAGGCAGTATTACTGCAGCACTCAGGCAAGTAAGAGCTACTCCAACACTCAGCCTGGAAACGACCCCATCACTCCCCTCACCTTGTGCAGAAACTCCAGCTTCTCACCACTGTTCACCAGCTTGTATGTGTAGACAAACCCCCCAGCAACGGAGCGTGGGTTCAGAATCAGGTCCTTGGCGACTCCCACCAGCACGTACCACTCATCACCGGTGTTGGAGAAGCGGCACACAGCCACGCTGAAAGGACAGGACACACCAGGACATCAGTGCCATCACCACACTGATGCTGCCCACCCAGACTGGATCCCTGACAGCACAACCTGCACCTGCCCAGCAGAGACTTGAGAGTCCAACCCTTCAACTCTGACATTGCCTTTCAAGAGGTCATTTTTCCTCCTTGCAGAAATGTTTAACACAGATTTGTTCATTCTTCCACACTACACTCTCCATGTGTGTTCTATCTGTCACATATGCCCAAAGCATTTTATATTTTCACAATGTCCACTGTTACTTTACATTTTCACAAGCTGGACACTGCCTAGTGATGTGTATAACTCTACTAGAAGCTATTTTTCAAAGGCTGTTCCCATTGGAACATATACAAATAGCTTTCCTCATCTTCCAGTGTTATTTCCTGCTCAGTAAATAGCTCAGGCAGGTTGGAAATGGCAGGTCAGCCTTTTGGACTAACATGACCTAACTCTACTTCACCTGCTGAGGCACTTGCTATTCTTCATGGTTATTGTGTTGGTTTTCCCCTCCAGTCTAACACTTCCCTTTCCATTTAATCTATCCTCAGTTTATCTGGATAAGAAGGAAAAGTGAGAGATAACAGCAAATTCTCTTGTTCCCAGCTCTCTTATCTGTCATTTACACCCCTGTGATGTTCTTTAGGCACTGAGGTACAGCAACCACATTTGGAGCACCACAAACTCTTAATGCCACATGAGGACAAGATTAGGGTTGGAAGGGAAGGAAAGGCAAGACAAACCACTTCTGGAATTTCAAGCCAGTCTCTTGATAATATGTTCCATCTGGATTTCAACTCAGTAACTGATAAGCAAAAGGAAAAAAACACCTAAGACTCATCACAAGCAGGGACTCTTGGTGCACAGGCAATACTTCTTACCTGAAAGCAGCTTCATTCTGCTCCAGCTGAACCAGATCTAATGTATTTCCCTGGATGGGGTTCATCACTCTGATAACAGAGGCCCACTGACCATTCCCTGCCTTGGGAGCACCGAAGATGGACTCAGGAAGATTCTCGTTCAGAAAGGCTGCAGCCATTTCTGCAGCCAGCTCCCTCTCATCCTCACCTGCAGCCTCCACCATTTCCTGCAGCATTAAGGGACAGGAGAAAACAACAGCTCAGTGATTTCCTTCCCCAGTATGCTGATGCATAGAATACAACCTCCCTGTTTTGCCTAAGCCCAGGTATTCTGGGGAAAGGTACTGCCTGTGAAGACATAAAACCCATTAAGTCCCAAAGCTTCCACCCAGCCTGAGCTTATTCCCCAGGGAGCCTCTACAGCTCAGAGCATGGCTGTGTCAGCTCTGCCCTGCCCCACTAACTGTGGTCTGGGGAGCTGTTTCCCCAAATCAACAACCCTGGAAACAATCCTGAGAAGAAAATAAACAACCTACTGAAATGCAAGCACCCTCAAGCAACCACAGAAACCCCACAGAACAGTGTTATGCAAGCAAGACCATCCTCCACTAGGGTGGTTCTTAAACGGTGGTTCTTAAAATCTGCTCTAACAACATGCAAAGGAGGAACACTAGAAAGTGGTGCATTCTGCTGAAATGTGTGTTTTGAGGCAGATCTCCACTCCTCATCCAGTCCCTGCATTCACACAGGCTGAAAGCCTTGCAGGTAATGGCAGCTGGGAATTAATGAGGAGGGAGATGCAGAAGTCCCCTCTGGGGAACAGATGGGTGCACCTGCCCCCCAGCCCAATTACCTCAGCCATTTGCTGCTTCCTTTGTGCCTTGGTGGCCTCAGTGTAAGCGTTGTGGTCTGTCTCAATGATGATCAGGTTGTTGCTCTCTGGGTGAATGACAAATTTTCGGGGTGTGTACTGCAATGGGAAGGCAACCTGGTTGAAGACTGCTCCCAGCTTCTCCAGTGCCAAAATCCTGGGGGATAAAGACATGACATGTGTTGAATACAACCTAAAAACAGCTGTCCAAGAGAATGAAACTGGAATGGAACTTCTTCTTTGTGAAGCTGACTAGTGCTAGAGAGGAGTAGCACCTTTCTCAGGCCAGACAGCAACTAGCAAACAGCTCCAGAGAGCAGAGCAAAACCAACATCCTAAAATGAGAGCCCATGGTGTGAGACAGGTGTGTGCTGCAGCACGAGGTCTTTGAGGGCTCTTTCTGTCCCAGGATGTGTTCTGACTGGTGCTGAAGCTAGTCTATCCCAAGAGGAACAAAGAGCACATGGAAGAAGGAAAGTGCACGTTTGGGGAACACATCATCTGAATCTAAATGTGACACTGACTTTGACATACAATCAAATGCTCCTCAGAGGCACTTCAGTTAAAAGGAGTATGAAAAATGCAATGCCAGCTCTTTCTTCCTGTGACTTGCTAGCTGAAATGCCAGTTCTTCTGGCATTTGGTGTCTAAAAACCACAAGTCTTTCCAGAAAGAATGGCTCCTTTAAAAGCAATGAATGCTGTAATATTTCAATGAGGACAGATATGAAAAAAGTGCCTGTTCAAGTGCATACAGCACAGCATCTGAATTTGTGGTCCATTATTTTCATTTATCTTTTTAGTATCTCAGCTGATCTTTAAAAAAAGGCAACAAACACATCCCTATCATTCCTCTGGTTTCTGAAATCACGTGGTTCATTTCCTGCAAAGCAGCCAATTCAGATCACAAACCACAAGACCCTAATACATAATAGGTCCACATTTATTAAAAGCTTCCCTCTCTAAGCATCAGAGAATTGAAGAGTAACTTGAATTACACTTATTTTAAAAAGACAGAAAATACAAATCTGAGAAGCACACCCCACTTATTTTTGACAGCATAACTCTCCTTAAATTGTCTGTTTTCTGAAACCCATCCAAGTTTTTCTACCAAATCATTACCCACAATTAAAAAATATTTTTGAAGTAAAGTCACTTTACCTCTTTCCTTTTGAATGTCAGGTGGAATTCACCACCGCTTCACCTGCCTGGCATCCCAGCCCATAAGCATTTGTGTTTCCCCTCTGATGCTTACCTCAATGTGTTTGTGGAGATGGCCACAATGCCCTCAGGGCACTGCTCAGAAGCAAAACCAGATGCAAACTCCAGTGTCTCATAAGACAGGGGAGTCAGGTGGAAGCGTGATTGATAGGAATAACTAAGCCAGGAACGGCTTGACATGGCCAGCACCTGGGAAAGACAGGCAACAAATTTATTAGGTCTGGGAATAGAGGCAAGCTCACTTTATGCAATAGGAATGCATGTACAGTGCCCAACTCTTTTCCACTGGAACAACTGAATTCTTGTGGGTGGACCCCACCCAGCTCAGAGAACACCTGAAGAGACACTCCTTACTTTCAGTTTTTTTCTGGAAATCGAATATGGCATGAAATGGAACTTTAAAGCACTGTCAAGACAACAAATAGTCCAACTGAGGTGCACTGACACCACTGTAAAAGCCAAGATCTTCTACTGCTACCTATAAAAGCAAAGACCAACAATACTCTAATTTCTCCTTTTTTAAATAGCTTGTTCTAATGGGAACAGGTCTTTTAAAATAAATATTTACTGCTTTGTCATAATCCAAGTGCTGTAGCACTCGTAGTGAAATTTACTAAAAATCATCACTAGCCTAGACCAAATTATGAGAAAAAAGGAAGCAGATTGACTTCCAAACTTTTCAACTTTATACATTTGGCTAAATGAGTCTCAGTGCAATCTTAGTTTCGGCCTGAGTGACAACAGCTGATCTCAAAGCAGAGAGAGATTATTCTCAGTTATTCTACAGGTATTCTCTGCTAGAGCTGCAAAGCTCCTCATCTCCAAGCTGGCAGGAGCAAGTTGAAGAAATTCACCCAGTGCACCTTAACACTACAGCTGAGCTCAAATTCCCAGATCCAGCTCCCTACGCTGATCAGCATTATTTCTCAACTCTGAAGGTGTCATCCAAAAATGAGTCAAGCAGGGGGTGGCTGATTTCCCCAGTGCCACATCAGAAGGGCTGGAAATGGCACTTCTGATGAAACACATTCTTCCTTCTATGCCAAATCTTGCAGATATTTTCCTTGAACCACGTATGGCAGCTGTCCAGCCCTTGGCTGAGCTATTCTCAACATGCAAGGACACAACCATTCACTGCATCAAGCATTCAAGGGTAAGTTTTCTGCACAGAGCTCTCTCCATCTCTGTGCATTCCAGCAGGCAAGATGTATTCTCTCAGCCCAAGAACCTGCTCAGACCTCTCCAAGCACACTGTAAACACAGCCTAAGGGTCAGATGAATCCTAGTTCACAGAAGGCAGGGCAGCACTAGACAGCAGTAAGGGGAGTAAGAACAAGGCTGTTTGTGAAAGAACAAGCTGCGGCCAGGCAGCTCCATAATGAAGTCATTCTACTTCCCACCCTTACCCAGAAGGTCCTGCTGTGCTGCAGGGATGCTTCCCCACCCTGCCCACCATAAGAAAATCTGGGATGTGGTGTCTGGGGAGTGGATCTGCACCCCTGCAGGAGCTCTCCTCCCTTACCGCCTCCTGGCCTTGCATTCGGACGCGGAAGAGTTTGACGGGCCGGGAGCCGAGGTATCGGGTCCTGGTGTCGGACAGGTCGCCAGTGACGGGGTCCAGGACGGTCCGCAGCAGCACACCGTTCTTGGCAGCAGCAAAACAACAGGGCCCAGGTTGAAGGTAAGGAGTAACTTACTATGTGCATCATTCAAAACAATTGAGAGGCAGTTTCTGAAGAATTAGCTGTTTGTTTTCCCGGCTGTCAGTACAATTTTCCTCTACAGCCACACTTTTAATAGCAAAGCACAGGGCAGAAAGGACTGCCTCCAAAATAGAACACAGACTGAGGACTTTAGTGTATCACACAAGCCATAAGAACCTGAGGGTGAATTCCAGATCCCTATCCTTCTTGGTACAAAGGATTTACCCAAAAACTCATGCTCCTCAAAAAGAGATTGCATTGTGACACCAAATTTGTGGCATGTGGAAGAACCTAAACTGTGATGATTATTTTTACCACATGCTGAGTTGTCAAAACAACTTTTTTTCATCAAAGATCAGAGAATCTGTACTGGATGTAACAAAAAGTTGTGAAACAGCAAAGTTATTAGAGCAGAGCCTCTGCTTGTGGGCAGTTACTTGTTTGACACTCTGCCCTACAGGCAGTTTTTAAAGAGCTGCTCAACATTTCACCCAGAAATATTAAAATATAATTCCTTCTTGAATGGGAAAAGCACAGTCTGTCCTACATAAAATCTGGTATAATACACTGTCTTTTGACTAATCTTTAGTCTAAAAATGTATGGGGAAACTCACACCTCTAAGAAGTCACACAGTGAATTCCCCAGTCTGGGCTGTCAAACACATTGTAACAAAGAGGGATGCCAGGCTTTGTGTTGCACTGCATGATGACAGGGCTATTTTAACAATCCACTTTCAAGCAAAAGCTCCTCAAGACAAACCTGCCAGAACCAGGCAAGAACCCCTCACCTGCAGTCCAATGTTCAGGTACAGAAAGCCAATGGAGCCCCTCTCTCCCAGCTCATCCTGCTTCTCTGTGCCACCCATCTCCACGATGCACAGCGACTCGGGCTGTGCAGGCAGTGCCTGCATACTCAGGGGCTGTAAGCAATCCTGGGGGAAACAGGACAGAGGGACAACACCAATCAGCAAGGCTTGGCACAGCAAGACAGGATTCAAGCTCCACCTAAGGAGTTTAAAGATGCCCTTTTAGATCTTCCAGAAAGAAAAAAGAAGTTATAACAGATGCTGGCTCTATGCATTTTGGCAAGCAGGAGCGGTAGCTGCCTGGCCCTAAACTGGATCCTTCCAAACTGTTCTAGCACCATTTGCTCCTATTTAGCATGGAGTGACCTAAGGAAAATTTAGGTTACTACAACCAGCTTTGAACACCTCATCTGTTGCAGGCAGATGAACAGTAAGTTTGGTTTGCTGCCAACTTGCCGGCAGAATGAGTCTTTTAATACAGGTACAAAGAGGGAGATGAGAGGGGGAAACCCAACAAAAAACCCACCTAAAACAAAACAATGAAAGAAAATTATTTTGTGACCCGTCAACTGAACCTCCAGAGGCATAAGTAATTCTCAATAAAACCAGAGTATCTGTTAGAGGGAAGGATCAAGGGCCATGCTTCCTGCCAACCAGCAGAGAAAAACCATGCAAGCTGTCCATTCCTGCTCACCCATCTGAATACGGAAAGACAGTTTGGATGGTTACAGTCCACCTTTGGAGGATCCTTCTGAACATTTCAAACCAATGAAAGGGTAAAACCAGAGCAGCCACTCACTGAAGGGTCAAGTGAAATAATTCTGACAGTGTTGTCCACCAGTCCAACAGCAAGGAACCGGGAACGCTGCTCCCCAGGGGGAACGTTGGCCAGGCTCATGCAAACGACATCAGCCGACATCTCCTTTCTCTCTGTGTACTCATTCAGCTGTCCTGACTGAGAGAGAAAAATGTAAGACTTTTTATTAGATACTTTGTTTTAAAATGATGCTTTGGATTTGTTATATAAACAATATCGCAATTTTTAAACTATTTCCTAACCCATACCTCACTCTTCCAAACTCATTCACAATATTTACACACATACCGGGTCCATCTCAAAGTAAACCAGTTCTCCTCCAGTCAGTGCTATCACTACTTGTCTTTGGTTCACAGCACATTTTACAATGGTTTTCTTTCCTGGTGTCTTCCATTCATTTACTCTCTTATCTGCTCGGATATGCCGGATCCCATCTGGATAAACCTGAAGGAAAAAAAACCCACATCAATTCTGTATTTACCACCTCTTCACAACTCCCCTTTCACTGGTGGTTCTGACTCAGCAGCACCCAAAGGCAAGAACCACTCCTGGCAGCGAGTGATCTGAACTATGCACCAGGCTGAACCAGCAGGATGATTCTTGCCAGCTGGGAGAACTGCATCTTTCAACCACAGCAAGGAACTACTGAAGGAGATTAGGACCATTTTGAACTTGTCCAGTTTCACTTAGCAAGATATAAAAAGGGAAAGGCTGAATCAGCATCATTCTCTGCCAATCCACAGCTTTAGACATGTGTTGCACTACCACAGAAATCACATCCATGCAGTAAGCTGAGAGTGGCAGACAGTAGACATGTAAGAAGCAGCTCTCCATTACCTGTACCAAAGCATCATCACCAAGAAGAGAGCAGGACAAGGTTGGTGTAGTGCCCAGGAATCCAGAGTCAGTCACTTCCTCTACAGTCTCTCCAATGGACAGCACCAGTGTGGCATTTACGAAGGACACGATAATGTAGGCATCAAATTCATCTGGTCAAGGGAAACGGGAAAAAAAAAAAAAAAAGAGTGCTGATTAATTAAATGCAAGGCTTCCCAACACAATCAGCAGCCTGACAAATGTCTAGCAGTTACTCCTCAGCAGAATTCCTGTGGTAATTACAGCTGCTGACAGTATTGCACAAGTTCGCTCTAGGACACGCTGTCCAAAAGCCAGCCACTGCCGGACTCCAAACAATGCAGCACCGAGCCAGGGATCAAACCAAGATCCACATCCACAGTCAATTCATAATGCTCTGGATTCTGGCAAGCAGGATTCTTGTGCATTTTTTTCAAAGAACGCTCAAGTTCTCGAAGTCTTTAAGAAAGTTGTCCCCCATCACCCAAAGAGATGAATCCAGATTTAACACCCAACGAAGTTAAACTAAATTATGTACTCCAAAAATTTGAACATAAGGAATCTATCTGCAGAAACCACACCACAGATGTCGCACACAGGAGGTTACAGGACCACAATCTCTATCTAGCGGCCACACAATAAAAGGCTGCAGAGAACAATTAGGGTGCATTGCAGCAGAATTCAGGGTTAAACCTGCTCTACTGTCCTCCAGAAGCTCAACTGGCTTCCATTCACACTGTGAGAGTCTCCTGGGATAAGAAACAATTACATTTTTAAGATAGTTGCAATACTGTCATTTATCCCAATAGAAGTAAAGGTCAGTGTTTGCTCTATTATCTCCAGTACTGGTTTCTCCCAAAGGGGACAGCGTGGGAGAGTCCTGTAGCTTGGACATGGAGGAGCTATGCTAATCAAAATAATCTAAAGAGCTCATTTGGAAATAGGGAAACTTTGTGGGAAATGAGGGTAGTAGGATTGGGTAAAGCAAAAATCCCAGTTTATTGCTCTCTGCTTTCACTCTGTAGAAAGCAATAGGTCTTCAGAGGGGAAGAGGACAATCTCATTAAAAGAGAATAACAAAAGCAACAGAAACAATGAAGTCTATTGGGAAATGGAGCCAGGAGCCTTGGAAGAGAAATAAGATTGCCTCAGAGAAGCAACTCCACTTCTACTGCTGTTGTCATGCAGCCGCTATTTCTTAAAAAGAAAATTCCTCATTTTAACCCTACTCAACCCAAAGCTCAGACTTGGGCACCACAGCATACCTAGTGGAGGTGAAGGCATAAGAGCTGTCAGTTTCTGCCCTTGAAAGGACACTCTCCTAATTTTCAAATATAGGAGACACAGAGAAGTGGTTAATAACTTAAACAAAAAAGGAAAATAAAGGAGTCTCACTGGGATTGAAATGGGATGCCATAAAATACGATGCAGCAGCTTAAAGAACCCGAGCTGGGTTAACGAAAACAAATGCTTCAAGAACTAATAATCCTTTTCTTATCCACCCTGTTTAGATGGAAGCATTGCCAAACCTGCTGTGTCACGTTTATAACAAAAAGTTCTTACATACAGTTGAAAATATGCAAGTGAAAAATTAAAAAAAAACCCCATCATTCTTCTCTGCAACATCTGGTACACAGACCACAGCTCTGATCAAACTGAAGAGTTCTGTGTAACTAAAGCAATTTCAACAGAAGTCTGTGGCATAAACTCTGTTACTACTCTATTAACTACTGACAGCCTATAACCTCCAACAGCTCCAAAATCCTACAAACAGGAACTGGTCCATTTGGGGAAATGAGAAAGCAAGAACTCAATCTGCAGAGAGAACTCCATCAGTAACACCAATGACTTGAATGCTTGGCTAAACAGAAGAATTCCCCCAACATTAACAGCAGATGATAAGAGCTCAGCAAGACACACTTGCACACCGCTTATTTCCTACACAGCAGCTTCTCCTACAAATTTGCACAGATTTTTCAACACCAGAAGTCTACAACAATTCCTCGATCATGGAGCTTCTAGCAGTTCACAGGCTAAGCATTTGATTCATAAATATCCCATAGACAGGATGTTCTAAGAATTCCATTTCAAAGACCACTGTTGCTTTCCAAATTACTTCAGAGCTGCTGCCTTCCTCCCTGGAGGCTGTCAATTCTCATGATAAACCACTGTGTCCCAGCTGGAGGTTTAAGCATGTGATTTGGCATAGGACAAAGAACTCCCATCTGAAAACAAAACAGATTCCCTTAGTCCTATCTAAACAAAAATTCATTCCTACCTCTTAATACTTTTCAGCTCTTTCCTTCCATTGGCTTACATTTATATTAGAGCATGCCTTTAAGTCTATGTCAATAATAGTGACAAGTGCATTTTTGCTTGAAGTCTGTTTTGCTTAATGACTCTCTGCTGGAGCTTTTGAAATAAAAGGTTTGATTTACCAGAATTAAGTCAGTGAATAAGACACATTCATCTAGGTTCAAACAATACATTTTTGGTTTAGAAAATATAGCAGTCTAGTTGAAATTAAGGGAACTAAATCCCTAGGGCACACTGAGAAGTGTTCTCAGTTAGAAAAAGAAAAGATCTACAGATTTTAATATGAAAAGATGTCTACTTAGCTCTGCACAATCCCAAGCAAAACATCAGGCTCCCCAGAGTTTTAAACAGATAGACATCATTTTGTATGCAGACACAAGACTTCAGAGATGCTTATTACTGTACTAATTGCACCAGTCAGCTCCTTTCAGTGAGTAACAGAGACATTTTAATGACTCTGAAGAGCCACAGCTGGACCTGTTCTACACATGCATTACAAGTTTTCTGCAGCTTCATGCAAACATCACAAACAGTTATGAAAACATGACATTTCAGTCCATGAACTCTACACTACTGTGTTTTTTATTATTTATCATGGATTCAGTCTGAGTTAGTCCATGAGAATTCCATTCTTTTATGCCAGTCCAGTCCTGACAGTTTTCTCACACTATGCAGCATCTGATACAACTGCAGTCACCACGAGCTCAAAGAGTGCAGGGAGCAAAGTGGTGAGCAGTGTCAGAGCTCAGGATCACTCCCAGTTAACAGACTGAGGGGATGACAGCACATTTTCCTGGGCTTCTGTTTACTACGGCGTGGAGACTCCGCAGCGCTGACTCACTGCACGCTGCTCCTGCAGCAAGAGTGCCAGGTAGGGAATGCTGGCTCCCAGCTCCCATCTGTCAGCACAGCACGGCACACACCTACACCCACTGATCATCCAACTGGAATAGTTTGGTGCAAATCCTACCCACTTCTGTCTCACAGGCAGATGAATCCCATAACCACAGGGCATTCCCATGCCAGCAATACATATAACTGCTCCAAGCACACTTGATCTTTTTCTCTTGGAGGTCTGTACAAAGCAGCTGGAAGCCTAATCTTGATCTACAAGAGAGCTGAAAATACCCCTAAAACACACACATCCAATTTTAGCAAGAACTGACTGTTCCAGAGAGACACAGCTGATTGTTTTGCTTCCCAAGGACTGCAAGATGGACTGGGATCTGCTTTCTACTCCTCAGCAACTCAACTTCAAAGGCAACCATCTTCAACTACACACCAGTTTCTACAATTTGTTTAGTGAAGTGCTTAGCATAAATGAAGCCCCAGGCTGTTGGGATTCTCTGTGGTTAACCTGTGGTACTGTACAGTAGCCCCTAGCAGTAGGTACACACCTGTGGGCATCAGCACCTCCACCACCAGCCACCTGTGGAAGAAAAAAAAAGGCTTGGTATTGGTAGTGAGTATCACCACGTACCAGCCAAGGTTAGTATTTGCTTTGAAGACTGCAGACCTGGGTGTTTCTTACAGAGGCCTTGCAGCACACACTGCAACATTGAGGCAGAGCTGGGCAACCCCACGCTGCCAAGTGTCCCCTCAAGGGCACTTTAAAGATTACATACATGTTTGAAAATGTTCTGCACTCTTTCTGATTAAAACCCACTAAAATAATTTCTGAATTCCTAGAGTTGGAACTTGGGAATCAGTTTCACAGAACTATAAACTGTACTCAGTGAGTAGCACAGCTTAACAACTATAGATTCCAGCCTTTCTGAATCATGGAGATGATCATGCTGAAACCTGGAAAATTTGGAAGGTGGAAAGAAGAGAAGGCAATGAGACTGGTCCTGCTTCCTGCAGATCATCAGTGGTCGTTCACCTCCTGAAAAGTCAAAGTCTTCTCCTGGAACCCCAAGAGAAAAGATTTTAAAACTGTAAGGTGATGTCAGAAACCTCCAGTCCTCAGAGGGAGAAAGAAAAACCATACCACTTTCTTTTCCAAAATGCTGAAGAAAAGGTTTCTAACAAACTGGAATGCCTCTTTTCAGAAAACTGTGTATTTTGTTTATATGAACTCTGGAAATACTTTCCTTTTGACCCTTTTACTTCTCGAGGACATGAAGGCACTTTGTGCTCAAAGATCCTCCCTTGTTGCTTAGAGAGTACATGAATCTCAGGACATGAGCACAGGAATTCATGGCAGGTCTCACAAGGCAAGGTAAATCCCACTGCAGGATTTGAAATTCTCACAGGGTTACTGGTTCCCTGGAGGACACACTACCCTGCTTAAATGCAAGGTATCATGTCACCATAGCAGGCTAAAGCCTCTATTGCAGCAATCTGGCCTTTCTAGATCACCTGTATAAACCTAGGGAAGCCTTTGTGAGAGTTATACAAAGCACTGCTTGGGAAATAATTCCTGACACTGCCAGCACCCAGAACGGATTCTCTACAAGCTTTTTAGGTGTTTCTGTGCAATTCTGCTCTCATCACAAAGAGAAAGGCAGAAGGTACTACATTTCCTCTTGTACATTAGTAATAGCAAGGCTATTATTTCAGATCATGAAATTTAAGAAAACCCCAGCGACCAACTAAACCCTCAATCCAGTATATTCTGCCAACCTGAAATCTTAATCTGTCTGGAATCACAAACTTTTTACACGCTGTTGGCTTTTGAATAGAGAGTATGTCCTAGTCCAGAGTGTTTATTTCACTGATATGCACAGAAGGAAGTAATAAAATGCAAACACTGTTGCCGATTTATCATCTTTGTTCCATAATTTGTATCCCACTCTCTCACAAAGAGCTGATTACTGCAGTTGTCAACACACACATGAAGAATAGTGAGTACAGTCCAACAACAAGAATAGCTGTTGCCTGCTGATGTTTGAGCAAGAACTTATGGGCAAAAACTTATGGGAAGCGGGAACACATGAGAAGTTCGGCAGCTTCAGGCTGCAAATGTACAGCTGACACAGCATAGTGGGTGATGGATGCAGCTGCAGGCAGCTGCTTCTTTGTCAAAAGGAAGTGTGACAATACAAGGGGACCAGAGGGTGGGTGGCTTTTTAAGATAAGCAGGTGGCTGCTGACTCAAACCACAACTTCTTACGATGGCACACAAGCATCACGCAGCACCATTCCTCTCTCCTTGGACAGAAAACCAGAAAACAACAACAAACAGAACACACACAAAATCATCATGACCTCCCTGTGCTTCAGAAAAACACTGCATACCTTCAACATGTCTCCTCACAGTCCATACAGCATTGGGGTTACCAGGCAGCTCTGACACAGCCATTTCAGATACCTAAGAGTAAACAGGAAGAAGGTTCTTTTGCAAACAGATGTTTAGACTTTACTAGAGTAAGCAATCAAACCACGAGCAGTTTTTAAGCTTTCCCACAACTGGGCAGAAAAACTAACAATTCCCAATTCTGATGCTCTCAGCCTGTGCCAGATCTGCCACAGGGCAAAATATGGTCAGCAATGATATGGTAACATTATTGCTGTGGATGATCAGCTTCAAAACAAGGTCATCCACCCCCAGCAGAGAGCAGCAGCAGCTGGCAGGCACCAGGAATGTTCCAGCTCAATACACTCAAGTATTAGAAGAAACAAAATGCAGGTTTTGTTGAAGTCAAATAAACAAAAAGCTTTTGAGACTGTAAGAATAAACAACACAACCCTTCTATTCCTCAAGAAGCAAGAGAAAGTAGCTTTCCAGATTAGAGCAAAAGAAGAATCCTCTCATTTCAGCAACTTTGTTTCAAGGATTTCCTCACACTGCCCTCATCTCTCAGATTTTTCTTAAGTGCTGGATGTCTTACCTCAAGTCCATGTCTTAAAACCCTCAGGGATGACCTGGGCCCCCGACCACAAGCCACATACAACTGGGGTGTGTCTTCATTGGCCAAATCTGCTATCTGTGTGGAGAAAAAGTGTCAAAACAACATTCATGGAATGAGAAAATAAAACTATACATACATACATATATATATATATATATATATATATATATATCACACTACTGCTTCAAGAATGTTTTTTTAAACACCAAAAGCTCTGGAGATGCCATGGGGTGTTCCAGCTGCTGCCCTGAATGTTAATTTTTACCGAAACTCTTTGCAAACAGCTGGTCTGATGGTCAACAGAGAAGCATCACAGAATCACTGGCTGACACCTGGTCTTCAGATATATATTTATTGTCACAGGATTCAAATCTACCAGGCCAGGTACCAATCTCAGGCAGCTGTCTGAGAACCCTGCAGATTTGCCTCTATGAGTCTTTACCTGGAGCAGTATTTCTGGAAACCTGGAATAGCTTAGCTGGTGACTCCACTCACACATGTGTAGACAGGAACTTGCTGATGACAACATACCTGACAACACAGAATAGGAGACAAACTGTCCAACTCATCCACCAGCACCAGGTTCTTCAGAGGTCGAGGCTGGAAAAAGAATGTGTCTCCTTCCTCAAGAGGCATGGCAGAGGAAAACTCTGGCTCCTCATCATCATCCCCCAGGTGAGCTATCTGGTACAGGTAACTTGAGACAGAAAAAAGTGTGTCAGCATCTTCAGAGCAAGGCTCATGTAGCCTTCTTTAAGTAAGGCTTGACCAGATATTCAGGTAGTGGGGAAGAAAGAAATCCAACCCTACATTATTCAGTTATTAATATTGGGCTTTAAGGATGTCTTCTGCGTTACAAAATATTTAAAAAAAAATCAGAGGCTTGCAAAGAAAAAAAACTCCAAAACCCACAAACAAGAAACCCCCCCCCACAACCTCCCAGCTTCAGGCCTTCACATTTGCAGCTGTCACTGGCAAGGTATCCCAGAGTTTCAGTATTTTGTTTACCCTTGAGCCTTTTAGATATTCTTGTGTTTAAGCCAAAGCAGCAACTGACTGCTGAGGCCAAAAGCAAGGCCAATGGCTACGACTTCATCTCCACATTTGTCTATTTTATTGGAATACTCTCACCTTTTAAATCATACTGTTTTAACCACATTCCCTATTCCAATTTATGAGGCCAAATAACACAACGAATAAAACTTCAGAGAAGGAAAAAAAAACCAACAAAAAATCCCACAGAAAGATAGACTGAGTTACTTCCTGGTTTCAATAAAGCTCGAATATGGCTTCCTCAATTCAGATTCAGTCCAGCAAACTGGCTGGGGCTCCCTCAGGTGGCTGACTGCAGATACAGTCAGGAAAATCTCCATTCCTGTGAATCCTTCCCTCAGACACAGTTTAGCTCATCTTCAAAGGTGTGCATGATCGTTTAGAGTATTTACAAGTCCAAACATGAATTAAGAGAAAGCCCTCAAGTATACATCTAGTAAGAAAAGGAACACAACTACTAATAAGAAATCCTATTTACTTCTGAGTGGGCCATACACATAAAAATTCAAAACTATCAAACTAATTGAAAAGATAATTCATCTGGTATGTGATGAACCCTACATAAACAGCAAGTGCTCAATTTTTCCAAAATCTGCTGCAACAGCAAGTAATCTTTTGTTTTCTGCACTTCATCATCTAATCTTAGTTCAAACAAGAAAATTCCCCCATTCATAGTCTAATCCAACTGTTCTTCTCAAGCCCTCTGAACAAAGCACCAAGTTACCCATTAAATCAGAGGTGTTGTCTTTCTATGCACAGTAAGTTCAAGGGTCAGTCTGCAGGCCTGAACAGAGCCACTCTGCTTCAGGGGAAAAACACTGACATAAAATTGTTTACTCACTGGTTTCCAAATTCAGATGCCACAAAGAGAAATCCTGTTTTCAGCACACACATGGCAGCAGCAACAGGAACAGTGTCAAAGTACTTCAGTCGAATCTCTGTTACCTGACAGCAGATGAAGATGTGAATATGATGCTATAGTACTGGAGCTCCATGTGTGATTTAATAACAAACATCTGCCTAGCTATCTTCTCCAAAGAAATGAACAAGGCCAGGCTTAACACATGAGTAGTTTGGGGCACCAGGTTATAAATCACAAAATCCAACAGACAATTTGAACACACAAGCCAGGCTGCCTGTTTTATTCCAAGACTTTCTGCCTTTTGTAACACTGAGTCAATTTGGAAAACAAAAGCTGTAAAAATAACAAGGTGCCTAAGAGAAAAGAAATTTGCCTCACTGAACACCACCAATTCTCCATCATTAGAAAAACAACTGTCCTGAGCAAATTTCTAAATTTGATATGGTCACAACAGCTGTTGGTAAAACATCCAAGAACAATCTTCAGGCACTTGAACATCACAGAATCACAGAGTATTCTGAGCTGGAAGGGACCAACAAGGATTATCAAGGCCAGCTCCTGGCTCTGCAGAGAGCAAACCCAAGAAATCACACCATGTGTCTGAGATCATTGTTCAAACACTCCTTGAACTCTGGCAGGCTTGGTGCCTGCTACACAATCATCCCCTGTACCAAATATGACATGGTTAGATGGAGAAACTAACATTCAACATTTACTCAAAAAACCCAACTAATCACACTGCAGCAGAGAACTTTTCAGAGAATACTAAAACAAGCAGCAGCAAGCCACTGCAAGCCTGTTATTTCAACTCCCATCCAGCTGTGCCAAGCTAACTACCTCATCTTGCAAAAATATTGATTGCAGCATGTAAACACCCAATTAAGGGACTAGAGGGTACTTGCTGAAATCCAGGGAAGCTAAGTTCCACAGAATAAGTTACTGAAATACTCTCCAGGAGGTTCATGAACCAGTTTATATTCTTTAAAAAAAAAGACCACCTCTAGAACATTTTAAGTATGGTCAAATGACTGCAGTTTAATCCTCAGAGGATTTTGCAAACCTTGCACCATGTCTCTTTATGAATAATACCCACAGTGGTGACCATTGTTAACTCTTTTACAAATCACATAAAGCACGTTCCCTTACACAGTTAAACTCACAACAGTAAAAATGTATCACCTTAGAGAATGTAACTGACTAAGAACTCCTCTCAATTAATGCTTCTGCATTCATGTGATGCTTACCATGTCTTCATCAGTCTCCAAAGTAATTTTGAAGATGTCTCCCTGCTCTGTCTGGGCCAGGAAGAAGAACATGGACTTGGTCTTATGTGTAGCAGAGCAGACAAAGATCATACCCCTCTCTGGATCATCCAAGTCATTCTGTCAGGAAAGACAGTGGAGGTCATTGGTGGAATTACCTGACAAGCGCAGAGGTGATTTCACTGACTGAAGTATTTCCATTTCACAGGTGCCTTAAGAGCTCACAGTATGTAAGAAGGTTTTTAACACAAAGCACATCCCTTTGTTACACCTTGGTAGTAACCCTTGGTACATCTCTGCCCCAGAAGGAAATTCAGCTGTGAGACACTGTGCCTAAGCATCATCCCTCATCTGTTTTACTTTCCTCTCCAGGCAACTCTCACATATCAAAGCCAAAAACACAGGAAAGGGCTGTAACCCACACATAGCTGGTTTTGAGCACCTTGGCAGGTGTTCAAAGTCCTGCATTCCTAATACCAAAGGGAGAGGAAGCAGCCTTAGATGCAACAGAGCAGCTGTTGAATTCACCTGCAGCTACAACTGCCACTGTTCAGCATCTCAAGTAATTCTATCTTACAGTGCTGCCTGATCAGAGTCTTTGGAGTATCTCCAGTATAAATCTCAGAGAAGAGACATGAAGCACACTCATCACTTCAGGCTATGCCCACCTCCATCCTCCCTCTCAGATAACACACGGCCAGTGAGGCAGATAAGCCAACATGTTTTTAACTCCTTTTTTTTTTTACTTTAAAACCTTTCTGGTGCCCTTAACCTTGAAAGGCAAATTCCAAGCATTCATAATCTTAAAAAATTCTCACCCGTCTCCTGGGAATTGGGCATCTGATATCAGGCTGGTCACCAAAGTTTTTGTAAGTAATATAGTTCTCAGAACAGATCAGCACCCCGCTGGGGCCATCAGAACCACCAGGAACTGAAAGAAAATTATTAGGAGAAAAGCTTTTACCATAGATCTGACTGGTTGCCTGCAGAACATTTGGTTTTCTTCAAAGCAACATCATTTCCAACACTCTCCATTACCCTGCATATATGAATCTGCTCTTATTGAAAAGACAAAAGACTGAGTACAGATGCATGTGCCACCATGAGAACAGGGCAGATGGAATCAGGGGATCTGAAAGGATGCAGTTTCTGACAAATTGCTTAGGTTTTATCCTTCCTGGCTTATTATTGTCTAGAAAGCCGTGACACGCCCAAGATACCACACTAGCAACTTGCCAGTTAAACACAACCCTTGGGTTTCTGGCATGTTTGCTTCTAGAAAAATAGTCAGATGGATGAACATCTTTAGTGAACAGAAGCATTTCTAAAACCATACTTTGTGATCTCAGTGTAACAAATCACATTGCCAAACAGATTCAGCACAATACTTGGTGTCTGTCTCACAGCTGCTTACAGCAGATGCAACAGGGCAAGCACACGAAGATGCTCTCTCAGCTCAGCACCTTTTGTGCCAGGAGAGGAACCTGCAGCAGTTTCCCTGGTTGAAGGTGCTGTATTGGTTTTGCATCCAACCCCTCCAAGTGGGCTTTTAGTCCACGGATTGATCTACTGCCTTCAGCAGAGGGAATGCCATTAAAGAGAGTAAAACAGCATCTACACATTAACCAAGTCCTTTTGCACTGCTACCAGCTAATTACAGGAACACTCTGAAACAGCAGCTGCTTCTATGAATACTTGTGCATTTCCATGTGAACCACCCCTCATTACCTGACTGCAAGGTTAATTAATTAATTTATACTAATGGCTCAGACTACAACTGAAACAACTCCTAAGATGTAAAGAGTATTGACAGTGTTTTCCTGGGGAATGGGAACCAAGCAGATCCATACAAAAAATAACTCTGTGGGTGGTACCTGTTATGAGGAAGTTGCCATGCTCTTCCAGGGGCTCACTGTATTTCCTGACAACATGGTTCAAACCCAAGTCCAGTTCATAAAATGTCAATGTCTGCTGTGTGTTGGCTGCAGCTTCACCTGTTGGATCGTTGTCTGCTTCCTAAAACAGAACACATCAAGGTGTCTTTGAAAAAAAAGGATTAAAAGGAGGAGCAAAGCTGATACGTTGGGAAACAGTTTTGAGTAGCAACAGAATGGGGGCAAAAAGACTTGCTAGAAGCTGCACAAGAGAAGTTCAGACCAAGAAAACAGGCATATTTTCAGTTGAAAAGCAAAAAGAACCAATCACCAAGATAGAAGAGACTTGCCCATTCTGGCTGAGGGCAAGACAAAAAGCCAGTAAGCCTGTAAAAAATGACAACTGTCCCAGACAGCAAAAGCAGCCAATACTCCCCAGTGACAGATGAAGAACAGAATAGGACAACAAAGGTCAAAATACAGCAAAGGGAGATGAAGTTCTTCTCACCTCATAATCCATTTCCAGACAAGCAAACATTGGGTTTTCAAACCCCACGTCGACTCCCACCACGTGGTAGACCAAGGTATTGGCCTTGTGGGCTTCCAGTGGGGAGGAGATGGTGAGTCGAGCAGCAGCATCTCTGTTCAGGATATACACCAGCTTCTGCTTCTCAATGGCACCTGCAGGAAAGGACAACAGCCCGTGAAGCCCATTACTTGATAATCAAATCTCACCATACCTGCAGCCCAAAATGAGCTGTAACGTGGAAAGAGAACATCAGCATTACTTCAGCTGAAGTTCACCACTGGTGTTTATCTCTGTGCCACCAATTAACCTCAAATGTCTCATTGTAAATCTTTCAGATTGCAAGCACAAAATGACAACTTCAGCCCTTTAAAGCCAAAGCCTGATCCTCTGAGCTACATTCACCTGGCCCTATACTCCATCTACAATGGCTTGAGGCAGATCTACTCACTTTTTACCACACAAGAGATGACAGACTGCAAGGAAACAAAGACAAATGGAAAGAAGCATCCAGATGTTCTGCTCTTTAAAGCCAGCTGGTATGACAACTTTTCCACAGAAATATTTTAACTAAGAAAATGTATCCTTGCCTGACACACAGCATCCACAACCCAAAAACACCACTCAAATATCAACATGAACGGCACAACTGTAACTGTGCTACTTTTTCACCCAGGAAAACCAGACACGTCAGAAAATAAATGATATTATTGCTATTCCCAGTTTAAAGACATACTTGGTAAACTACCATCAGCACTGCAAGGGCTGCCTTCAGCAAAATGAGAAAGCTCCACACACCTTGTGCTAAATCTTAGCAAAAAAAATTCTCTCAAGTGTCCTTCTACCTATAAAGCCTGATCAGAAATGCATCTGGCTGTCTCCATGAGACATCTCAGAAAAGAGACATGAACTCAGAACATCATTTCAGGCCATGGGAACTGACTGGCTACACTGTAGCACTGACACCTGCAATCCCATCCTCTCTCCCACACACCACACCTCAGGGCTCTGCGCATTGCTAAGCAAACTGATCTCTTTCCAACTTGTTGTGGTTCAGCATTACAATTTATTTGTGCAATTCCACCAACATCAAGGAACAATTCTGAATGCCTGCATTCTCCTTGACACAGCTCACAGCCTAAAACAATTATAATTCCAATTACATCTGGCAGAAACTCGCTCCAAAATAAACATCCACAAGACAGAAGATAAAAACATTAAGAACACAAGCTGACAGAGAGACTTACTGATCATGACAGCGCGGCCCTTTGGGTCCACAGCCAGGTACTGGCCTGGAACGATCCTGCGACAGCCACTCTTGCCAAAGGTTTCCTGGTGGATCTTCTCGAAGACGTTCTTGGAGGGCTGGTACTCCAGGATGACGATGCGCCCCGAGTCGCTGCCCACCACGATGTAGTCCTTGGTGCCCCCTGTCAGCCTGAAGGCCATGAGGGAGCGGATGACCCCAAACACCTCGACGGTCAGCAGCGTATGAACCTTCCCTGTGTTGGGATCAGGGCGCAGTAACTCCAGGATCTTGCCCCGGGAAACAACAATTTCTTGTTGTTTGGTTCCTGAAGAACCCAAAACACGAGCACAAGTCAGCAACAGAACGCACAACACGCAACTTCAACAAGTGCTACGAGGAAAGAAGGGTGAACTTCCAAATACCAATTTTAGGACTACCACGGTGAAACTCAAAGAAACTTATTCACCACATTATGTACCACCGTTGTCTAAACATCTTTTAACACATCAGAAAATTGGTCAGGATATTAAATTAAATCTATAGATAAATTAGATTGATAAATAATCAAGCCAAATTTCCCTCAATCTATCCACAAGCTACCACAGCTCAAGTAACACTCAAGAACAAATGATAATGTACCAGCAAAAAACCCCCAGAGGTACCAAAGCAAACTGGTACCCAAAAAAGCCTCAAGCCAAGTCATGCAGAGGAAGGAGAAAATTACCTGAGAAATTGCCATGGATAGCAAAGCTAATGCCTGTGGCACGCTGCAACGTCAGGTTGTACAGAAACATGTTGGCAACGGATTTGCTTCAGCTTATCGTAGCTCTGGTAATCCTGCAACAAGCAACAAAAACTAATAAACTTCTCAAAAGCAAAGCCTTTCATCCATCAGGGAGAACCGCTGGCCTCCCGTGTGTGCACGGATCACTCCAGCAGAGCCCGACTGCCACCGCGCTATTTGCTATTTATTAGCGCAAAAGGCTCTCCCAAGGTGTCCCGGGTGCCGAGCGCCAGCTGAACTCCTTACCGCCGGGCGGCTGAGCAGGATTGCCAGCAATTACTGCTAATTAGTCACGGCTTTCGCTTTACAGGAACCAAACACAATTAGGGAAGCCTTCCGGGATCCCCGCGCCGTTACACATCTCTGACGCCGCCGTTTCATTGAACACGAGTGCAGCCACCCGCAGCTGCCCAGGGCCGACTCCTCTCCCCGAGGCTGAGGCGGAAGGGAACCCCAGCACCAACCGGCCGCACCGGCCCGGGGAAACCAGCCCTGAGCCTTGCCGAGGCCCCGGCAGGGCACGGAGCCGGCACCTCCCCGCGCTCTGCGGAACGCTCGCCCCGGGAACCGGCCACAGCTCACTGCCCGGCCGCCTTCACCCGGCCCAGGCCCCAAAGGGTCCGGGACGCTCCCCCCTCCACAAACCAGGGGCCCGTCCCTGACGCGGAGCCGCCGCCGGGCGGGCAGAGCTGCGCTCACCGTGCGGATGGCGGCGGATGCTGCTCCGGCCTAGGCGGGGGCGCCGCCGGCCTCCTCCGCCATCAGCGCCGCGCCTGCGCGCTGCCCTCCCGCGCCTTCTCCATGGGGCTTTCCACGTGTCCGGCGCGCGCGCGCGCCGTGTGGCGAGTAGGCTGCCCAATGCGGTGCCTGAATGATCGCGGCGCTATAGCAGCTGCCGCCTGCACCAAGAACCCCCCCAAGAAAACCCTCAGCGGCCTCTTAGCATGGAGATCTGCAGGAGCGTCAGCTTCCCTCACCGCCGGGCGGAGCCGAGCGGCGCCAAGGCTCAGGCACCGCCTTTGACGGTCCCGCCGGGCCTCACCGCGGTATCGACCGCGTCAGCTGTGTGCCAAGATGGCGGCGGCCACGGCGCCAGGGCCGAAGGCGCCGGGGGAGAGCGGCGGCCCCGCCGCCTCCGCCCTGTCCATGGAGCGGATCCAGTCGCTGACCGATCTGGCGGATCTGGAGGCCGCCTACAGCCGGCTGTGTGAGGAGGAGGTGTGTGGGGCCGGGCATGGGAGGCAGCGGGGCCCCGAAAAGCGGATACCTCGCTGTCGCTGTGCCCGTCATGGTCGCGTACTCTCTAGAGGTGTTTGATACGGACTTGCCCGCGCCTGGGTCGGTGTCGCCTCCGCGGATCCCTGAATCGCGAGCAGCCTGAAGATTCTGGGATCTCCTGCACTGGAAACCCAGCCAGGGGAGGAGTTTGTAGGATGTCTGACTTAAAAGCGGTGTGATAAGGATTCCAAAACTGATGCTATCAAATAGAAAAATCATAAAGATTTAGAGAATTAAAGAGAGCTTAGAAAATATTTACTTGTCATATGTGCTCTTGGAAGCACGAATGCCTAGTGTCCTTGGCTTTGATGTAGCGTCTGTGATAAATTGCTGGTCTGGAGGAGAGCTGAAGTCACACAACACTTCCTTCTTTTTTTTTCTTTTTTTTTTCCAGAAAGTCGTGCAGGAAGAGCTGGATGCCCTCCTGGAGCAGCAAAGCACTATAGAGAATAAGATGGTTGCCCTTCATCGCATGGGGTTAGTGTTCCAACCCCATCCTTCTCTTTGCTGCATGGCCCCGATACTCCCGTCAGTGTTGTAGCAGAAGCACATCCATTCTCAGAAAATATCAGGCTTTAAATCACTTTGTGGTAGTGAGCACAAGTTGGAGCCTCATCCCCAGTTCTTCCCAGCAGCACTGACGGCTCTGCCCTCACCCAGACTGACCCATTTTGGTGTAGGCTCAGGAGCTTTTTGAAAGTGTCATCTCAGAGGTTGCCAGGTTTCAGCATCAATTGTTGGATCAGGTGTCTTGTGCCAGGCTGTCTACAGGTGTGAAAAAATATTACTGCCTTTCAGGGTGAACTTGTGCAGGCAGGCTGGCAAATCACCCTGAATAGCCTTGTGTCTAGCTCCAAGGAAAGGTTTACAGCCTTCACCTCCACTTCAGAAGTGGAGAATGTCCCAAGGGCCCAGTGGCTCCTTCATGCCCTGTGGTAGCAAGGCACAGTTGGTCTGTGCAGCTTCTCCCAAAGCAGCCAGCCTGCTCCTTCCTCCTGCTTTGCTCCCAGAGGAAGGGAATAGAATGAGTGGCAGTATTGTGACAGGACCAGCTGTACCTGGAGAGACAGCCATGCTCCTTGCACAGCACCCAGGTGGTTCCTGTGTGCCTCTCACGCTCAGCCCTGTGTGTTTCAGCCCCAGCCTGCAGCTGATCGAGGGGGATGCCCAGCAGCTGGCAGGGATGGTCACCTTCACCTGCAACCTGGCTGAGAACGTCAGCAGCAAGGTCCGGCAGCTCGACCTCGCCAAGGTAGCTGGGCTGAGGGGGCTGGAACTTGTCAGCACTCTTGGCTGTGCAGGTCTATAGGGTGCTTTCAGTACACCTTCCCCAGTGTCTTGTTCCTGCTTAGATGCAGGGCTGCTGTGTTTGGTGTTTCTGTGTTCTGTGCTCACAGCACTCCAGATGTGTCCTGCCTTTGGTGGGCTGGAAGCTGCTGTGGTTTTCATTCTTTTTTGTGTCTTTCTGGGCTCCTGGGTATTGCATGGTATAAGACTGGTAGAATGATAGAATGGTTTTGGCAGGAAGGGACCTTAAAGCTCCTCTTGTTCCCAACTCTCCTGCAGCTGACATGGACACCTTTCACTAGACCAGGCTGCTCAGAGCCCCATCCAGCCTGGCCTTGAACACTTCCAGGGATGCTCCTCCATATATTGGCTGGTTCTCCAGCATCCCCTTCTGTCCATGCAGCTCCTGGTAGAATACCCTGAATAGCGTGACTAACAATCTTGGCAGCTGCACAGTGCTGAGGACAGTGGAGATTGTCACCCAAGCCAGGTCAGGAATCTGGGCTGTTCTGTTCCTTGTCTGGGGACAGGCTGAGGGGTGTCAATGCCAGCACTTGGCACAAATGCTCAGATCAAACAGATAATGTGTGGTGTCCTCTCTGGTCTCTGCTGTTTGTTACAGAGAACTGTGGCCTCCAAGCTCAGCCTCAGTCTTGACATATGCTGTCCATCCTGTGGAGCCACTGGTCTTAGCACTTCTTAAGTAGTGTGGGATTTTTGCTCATGTAGTAGTTCTGCTGTATAGAGAAGTATTGCTGTCTGTTTTTCCCTCAGGCTGCCTTCTGAGAGCTCCCTCTCCCTGTCCATCCCACAGCTGGAAGCATCACTGGTTGCCTTTCTTTCAGAACCGGCTCTATCAGGCCATTCAGAGAGCTGATGACATCCTTGACCTGAAGTTCTGCATGGATGGAGTTCAGACAGCCCTGAGGAATGAAGACTATGAACAAGCAGCAGCTCACATCCATCGCTATCTGTCTCTGGACAAGTCAGTGATTGAGCTCAGTCGTCAGGGCAAGGAGGGTAAGCACTGTTTGTGAGGAGATGCTGATGAGTCACCTTTCCAATGGATATCTAGAGGCTGCTCATTTCCCATGGGTTGTCTCATCCCAACAGACAAAGCAGAAAATCTAATGCTGGCCAGAGATCTTAGTATTTTATAGGTTGACTTAGTGGTGAAGGTTTTTGAACTGTTATTACACCAGAATTATCATTAATTGAAAAGGAAGCTCCTGGCACACAGCTGCAATAGTATTTCAGGTGCTAACTAAGCAAAGGACAAAATGTTCAGGCCAGAAGAAGTGAGGAAGAAGGCTCTGTCAAGAATTTTTCTTGTGTCATGGTGTGCTACTAAGCAGAGCAACTGGAAATGAGGGAGTAAATTGCTAGATTCCTAAGAGGAAAATCCCAGTGGATGTGTTGTCATCCTTCATGCAAAATCACAACATTACATCACGCACCAACCTGTCCTTGCCTGTAGAGGAATTCCAGTGTGTCTTCTACCTTCTCAGCTTGGGGCTGCACAGTGCTGGTCTCTCTCCTGGGGAATAAAAGTAGCCCTTGATACAGTATTAACATTGTGCTGTCGCTTTTCTGTTTCTTTTCTGTCCTTTTGACCAGGGGGTATAATTGATGCCAACCTGAAACTCCTGCAGGAAGCAGAGCAGCGTCTGAAGACAATTGTTACAGAGAAATTTGACACAGCTATGAAGCAGGGAGACCTGCCCCAGGTGGAACGGTTCTTCAAGATCTTTCCTTTGCTAGGCTTACATGAAGAGGGGCTGAGCAAGTTCTCTGAGTACCTCTGCAAGCAGGTAACAGGCTCTGTGACACCCAGGGGAAAGCAAAACCCAGTCTCTGTCAACAGATGTTTGAAGGAGATTTTGGCGGTGGCTTGTTAACCTTAAAAAATAGCACTGGCCTTAGTTCATATCTCTCCCTGCATTTGTATGCTGGGATGGGCTTTCTGGTGTCTGTGTCTTGCTCTGTGCACTTACTTAAAAATTATCAAATGAGCCTGGAAAGAGAAGAGCAAGTTTCTGCCTTTCCTTGAGCCTTAAGTTTTCCACAAGAGAGGAAAGGATCTGCGTTCAAGGGAGGAGTAACAGCAATAGCTCTTGCATTGGGAAGGCAAATGAAAGCTCTCCAGGGCAAGGATAGAGGACATGTGGGTTGAAGAATACCTTTGAGTGTTCAGCTGACTGGTCCTGTTGCCATGCAGGTGGCCAACAAAGCAGAAGAGAACCTGCAGCTGGTGATGGGGACAGACATGAGTGACCGTCGAGCTGCTGTCATCTTTGCAGACACCCTGACACTCCTCTTTGAAGGTAATCTTCCTTTCCTCTTTCCTGATGATTGCAAATAGTCCATGATGAGACTGTCCATCAATTTAAATGCTTTCAATTTCAGCTCACAAAATGCCTCATTCTCATTTGAGCTACAGGTGTCTCACTCGAGGGACAGGGACACAACTAGCAGGATTTATTCCAACCAGGAGAGGGCATCACAATAAGCAAGTTTTCCTGTGTACATCTTGTAAAGGCACAAAGTGCATTTGCAAAGGATTTGTTGGCTTCCCCCAGGAATCAGACTCTTCCTGTTCTCTGCATCCTCAAAACAAATGGATATTCCCTGGAGGTTTCTTCAGACTTGGAGCTCTCCAGACAAACAAATCAGATCCCTTAGGGATGAGCAGCTGTTGGTGCCTCCAGGCCTGGCTCTTCAAGAAGCACCATGGGAACTTGAAAGCAGAGAAGGGAATATGAATGCTCTGTGGGAATGCCACAGACAGTACTTGAGATCCCATGGTGATTACCCACCTTCTCTATGAAATCTGCTCTAGTTCCAGGCTGCACCCCTGCCAAGTTACTCTCCCAGCCTGGCACCAGTAGAGCTTTCTTGCCAGTAGTGTTAAAAGCAGGGGAAGCATTGCTAAATTTTGGAGTAGAGTGTTTTTGATAAGAAGGCAATATTGTAGAGATTCTTCCTTGTGGATGAGCTGTTCCTCCATAGAGTTCTTGCCTTTGCTAATGCTTGCTCTCTGCAGCAAGTGTGTGCCCAAGAGCCATCCCTGGGCTGATTTTTCCCTGTAGCCTTGCAGGTGCTAAAAGCTGGGACTGCATTTGGGTGGCAGTTGTGCCCCCTGCCAGATTTAGCTTGTGTGGCTTCATCCTGGGGAAGCTTCATACCTTGTATCTTGTGGGCTGAAGGGCAGCTGGCAC